TATTTTTTACTATAAAAATGTATTTTTATACTTTCATTCATTTTCTTTGTTTTGGGTTTCACTATTTGCTCAAAGCTGGGACCCTAACCGGTGCTATCACCCCTGGTCAGGGTATTATATGAATTAATGCCATGAAAGAGTTCATGTTGCTTGTTTAGTAGTATTTTAAATGGATTTGGCTGAAGTCACTATGATTTGTTGGTATGTGCGTATTTTTGGTAATTTTACTATTAATATGCATGGTTGGTAATTTTTTATATATAAAAATGTATTGCTGGTATTTTTTATTATAAAAATGTATTTTTACATTTTCATAGTGTTTTGTTTTGGGTTTTTTGCCTATAGCTGGGACCCTAACTGGTGCTACCACTCCTGGTCAGGGTGGACCTGGGAACAACAGCAATTATGGTGCTCCTCAAAACCTATCCCTTGATTGGATATAGTTTATCATCATACCCAGGACTGAATTTCATATTTTTATACTTGAACAAGTTCCACAAACCAACCTCTAATTTTCGTCACACATTTACAATCCTCAAACAAAAAAAAATGTTTGTACCCCATCTCATTAGTGAACATTAAAAACTCCAAGTTTATGATATAAATATTCAAATTTTACCAAAAAATCTATTATATTCAATGATTCATACTTGATAAAAAAACATATATAAAAACTCTTTAAAAGAAAAATATGAATGTGTATTTTTATCTTTAAAAAAATAGCATGTCCTGTTTCTTGATATTATTTGTAATACCATTTTCGTGTGAAATATCTTCTTGTGTTAAATCTCTAATACAAGTTCTAGAATGTCCAGTAAGGGTAAGATAAACTACCAGGCCTCATTTCTTTTTGTCAGGATCAGTAAACGACTGCCATATGTACACTATTTACATTGTTCAGACTGTTGTTCCCATCTTTGTTGCCATATTTACAACATTTTGACTGTTGTGTGCTCCGGCCTTCTTTAAGAGGCATGGCACATGGAACTAGAACAATCTACCCCAGTGGATGAAATAAAGGGTTCAGTTCGAAATTCCAATCACCTGAAGAAGGCTGAAGTGTATAACAGCTGAAACGTTATGAATATGGCAACAAAGATGAGGACAGCTATCCAAACAAATAAGTGTAAATGGTGTAAATAATTACAGTACCTCATCTCAGAAATATAGACAGACTGCTGTATATTTAAATCATTTTTCCATTCAACATAATGTTGTTCACTCTCTAAAGCTGGAGGCATTTACAAGGTTGAAGTAATTTTTCTTTTGGGGTTGGGGGTGATGCAAAAACAAAAAAAAAACTTATACAAAACAATGTCTACTATTACTACTTGGAGAGGGTAATTAACAGGAGATAACTGATATCCATTAGACATGGCACGGGGAACTAGAACAGTCTACCCCAGTGAGCGAAATATAGGGTTCAGTTTGACATTCCAACCACCAGAAGAAGGCCAGAGCATACAACAGCCAAAACATAATAAATATGGCGACAAAGATAAGGACAATAGTCCGAATAATGTAAATAGTGTACATAATACCTCATCTCAGAAATATAGGCAGATACAAAGCAATGTCTCTTGTCATATATTTTTTGAAGCTACACTCTGAAACCAAATTGTTCATGTCCATACTGTGATTGTATTCAACACATGTTGCTCATCTTTTCCTCTAAAGTCCGACTACTTAAAAATTTCACTAGAAACAAGAAAGAGAGTACTAAACTGATACATGATATCTGTCCTCCAGTATAGCAATGAGTGCTGGAGGATCTCCTCAAAGATGAAGAGACTTGAAGCAACAGAAATGTGGTTCTACAGAAAGATGCTGAGGATACTGTGGCTTGAACATGTGAGCAATGACAAAGATTTGTAGAAAATGGAAACAAAAAGGAAACTAATACTTAACATCAAGAAGAGACAGTTGAGGTTTCTGGGGCACATAATGAGGAAGGTGGGCTTGGAAAATCTGATACTCATGGGACAGTGGGCAAGAGGGACAAAGGAAAACAAGGCATAATATACTTAGCAAGCTTGGCTAAATGAATGTTGGAACAGGTCTTAGGAAAAATAACAGAAATACTGTTATAGTGGAACACACCTATAGTTAATAGACTCTCCCACCTATAATAAGTAGTAAGAGTAACGAGGGAGTCGGTCAGTGAGTGGGTCAGTCAGTCGATGCCGTACGACAGTCGAATACTAAAGTATCAGTGACCACAACTAGATTACTCTGCGTTATACCTATTATATCAAGTTCCTAACGTTTTGTACGTCGAACCTATTTTAGGACCGACTTAGTACAAATACAAGCCTCCACTGTGAAATCACTCCACAACAGATACAATGTTTGTTACAACATACAATGGGACATGCTCGCCTATGCCCTGATGGGGTACAGTACAAAGAAGAATCCTCTTTCCTTTGCTCTGCTGAGATTGAAGTAACCGAAATATCAACATCAAATACTTAAACTCTGAAATCAGCTCATGGCCTTAATAGATATATTTGCTATATTCTTGAAGGAGGTTCAATAATTTAGACATTTCCTTCATGGATCTGCCATATCTCTTCTGACTTTTTTTTACCTCATTTGTGGCTTTCCATTTTACACTAGTTCATAGTTTCTTTCATATTATTTTCCAATCATCTCCTCTGTCCTTACTGTCATACAAATTGTTCAATAGGTTAAGCTGCAGGAATCTGCCATGCGCTTTCTGGCTTTTCCCCTTATTCGTAGCTTTTCATTTTCCACTATTTCTCTATCATGATTTCCTTCTAATTTTTTTTTTCCATTCGTCTTCTCTGCCCTTTCTTACTGTCATACAAATTGTCCACTAGGTGGAGCTGCTTGATTCTGCTGGAGCTTTGTGTATAATAAAATAATCTTAGAAATTCTTTCAAATGATGAATAGCTTGAGTCTGGAAAGCAAGCACATATGGCCAGTTCATCTAGACACAAGAAACTATGTCAATCTGATATGTTATTTATAAGTTTGCCTTGATTTAACTCAAAACCACAATAGTGAGTAACACACCAAGGATTAAATTTATTACTGTAGTAAATTGACTGATCTTTAGTAGGCACTTACCAGGAAGTAACTTGTTACTTATTTTTTGAATTGCTGGCAGAAACATTTCTCATGACCTACTCTTGTATTTTGAATGTCAGTTAATTTCTTTGAAATATTTCTACCCAGGACATTCTCATTACAACCTTCTCCTGATATTCTTGGGTATGATAAGCCACATCTGGCCACGAGGACTCTGATTGAGAGATTAGAGGTTTGAGGGTCCCAGCTATGGCAAATAGTGAACCCTTAAACAAACAACAAAAAAAAAACTATGAAAGTATAAAAATAAATTTTATAATAAAAAATACCAGCAATACATTTTTATAGATAAAAAAATTTACCAACAATACATATTTTTAGTAAAATTACCAAAAATACACACATACTAACAAATTGTAGTGACTTCAGCCAAATCCATTTAAAATGTTACTAAACAACCAACATGAACTCTTTCATGGCATTAATCCATTTAAAACCCTGACCTGAAGGTGGTAGAACTTGTTATGGGCAAATAGTGAAACCCAAAACAAAAACAAAACACTCTGAAAGTATAAAAATACATTTTTATAGTAAAAATACCAGCATTACATTTTTATACAAAATTATTTTTAACAATACCTCTTTATAGTAAAAATACCAGCAATACATTTTTATGCAAAATTATTTTTAACAATACCTCTTTATAGTAAAAATACCAGCAATACATTTTTATACAAAATTATTTTTAACAATACCTCTATATAGTAAAATTACCAACAATACACTTTATCTGTAGTTAAAGGCATATAATTTCATTCAAAATAGATTTTGGAATTAAATAACCCATAGATGTTGATATGCTGCTAAACAAAATCAGCGAAGCTTCTCAAGGAGTGCTAATCTGGGCAATTTCACAATGTATCTACTGATTGATATATTTTTTTGTTTTCTTTTCAATCCTTTGTAGGTTATTTAAAGACGAAACATATTTTGGATTGTGAGAATGATTCTTGTTTTTGTGAGTGTACAATGATTTTTCCATATAAGTCCTCTTATTTAACCCATATCTGGGGGAATGATGGATTCATATCTTTCCCAAGAGTATTTCTGTACAAGTAAATGTAAATGAACTTGACTGGAATTCAAACTTGGCTCCATGATTTCTCAATCCATGCCACTATCCATCACACTACCTGAACATTCTCGTCTTTTAAAATTTTCTTTCAGTCTACGTGTTTGTTGTTCAAAATTATGATCCTTTTGTATTGAATATCAATGAAAACATAAACAACACTCAAACTTATTAATATTCTCAAAGAGTTCCAACCTGGACAATTCCATGACGTGTTTTCTGAAATATTCTGTCCTTATATAACTGTTAGTCAAATGTGATCTGGTTTCATTACAATATTAATGCATATACATAGTTTTCTTAACCATGCAGTAATGAATGTTTGGAGACTTGCTTATCTAGTACATCTCAGTAACTTCCAACATTCACCTAGTACCAGCATGTACTCAAATTTTACTGTTACCTCCAATTCCATACCATTCTATACTACAGGCCTACTCATGGTGCAGTTAAGGTTCCCAACTGGAGGCCTATTTTAAAAGCAATATATTTTAGTTTCAGTTTGGGTTTGTGGTAGTTCACTACTGTAGTCAGCTTAATTGATTGATTCATTTTCTATGGCTTATCAACCCTTTGCAGGTTATTTAAAGCCAGAAAATATTTTCAGATTGTAAGAATTTAGGGTGGGGAGAGATAATGATTTAGTGATGCATGTCTTACTAATTAACCTATAACTAGGGGGAGAAGAGTTGGATTCATACTTTTCCCAAAGGTATTTGTGCATAAGTGAATATGAAGAACACAAGTAGAATTGGAACTCAGCTCTCTGATCAACAATTTTGAGCCATTATCCATTACACCACCCACACATCCAAGCTTACAGCACCTGGTATTCCTAAGAAGTCACCCTTTTAGGTACTGACTGGGCTCAAAATTGCTTAACTTCAGTGATTGTACAGGAACTGGTATTTCAATATGATATGTGAGTCAACTTATAAGAAATTCCCAAACTTTTGTATCATATATGTGAAAAGTAATGTTTTTGTTTAACAAAATTTCAACATTATGTGGATCATATCTTTTACCATGAATTTTGACTTCCTCTGTCTTCTTTAATATTTGCCAGTGCTCACATGAAAAATACATATTTTCATTTATTTCAATTTCAACACATGGAATTATCCCCAAGTAAGGGTGAAAATGTCATTAAATTATTTTAAAAAATAGTTAACTTCTGAAATTCAATCACTTAGAAATAGGCCTCCAGTCCTGGTCCTTAGTTGCACTATGAGTAGGCTTTCAGTATAGAATGCCATGTCCAACCTCCATCTGAATTTTTTTAATGAAAAATAAATAAAACTGTATGAGTTCTCAAATGCAGCTCAAACATAAGAATCACAGATGAATTAATGTTCCATGTGAAAATGTGTTTTTTGGATAATGCCCTATTTGCATTTCAAATGATAGCAATGAACTTTAATGAAGCAGTCTCTGGATTTAAAATTAGTGGTGGTGATTGTGTTTTCTAATTATTGTTGCTATTTCTTCCAGATTTTTGGTGACAGCTGTTATTCCAGATAAACTAATAAAAATGTTAAACCTTTTTTTTTTATTATTAATCTTTGATGCTTCTAAAATGTTGTCAGATAATGGTTGTAAATTTACCAACAGAGATGTGTCAGCTGGAAGAGGCATTTAATATAAAAGTAATGACCAAGGCAGCTGAAAGTCTCTGAAACAATGGCATTTGTGAACAACTGAATGTTATAATTGGTGACAAGAGTCTTGCTAATATTGTTTTGATATAGACAAGGCATTTTGTTGCACAGCATCTGCTCATGAGGCTTTGTCAAATTTTTTCCAGATTTTTACATCATCAGCTAGTTTTGGGATTCAATTCAGCAGTTCCAGATGTCTTTCAGAGTCATCTTCCTTGCACTGGAGTAGGCTTCTTCAGTCATCACATTAGGGAATTTACAAAATAGTTATTTTTTTTCCTTAAATAAGGGAATTATCAGGGAATTTTAGTTTCATGCCAGTGAAATCAGGCAATTTTCTAACTTGCAACTTGACATACACCAAAGGACATTATATGTTTTTGAGATTGAAAATTATTTGAAAATAATTGCAAACTGTTATAGATGTGATAGATATTTTATTTTCTAAGATTGGTCTTCTATAAGCTGTGTCCACTCAGAACATAGGTGATCATGGCTCTCCACAATTTCCTGTCCTTTGTAGCTCTTAGTAAATTTTCTCTTTTTGTTATCTCTCCTAAACCCTGTTCTGCCAACCATTTACACAAGCTTGTTAGGTAGGTTATTCTGCTGTGCCTCTTGCCTTCAGTATGATTTATGAGTTCTTTTTTTTATGTGCCCTTCAATAAAAATATGTTTCTTTAACTATTTATTATTTTAGCTCTGCTCTGAAACAGCAAAATACTTACACCTGTCTGTCATATGATGTCTTGAAATCAAGGAATTTTATTCAATGATTAGACTGTGAACCTTGATCTCAATGAGAAATAATTTAAATGCCATGCATTCAATGAGCCAAATATTTCTTTCTTGTAAATCCAGTGAGAAAGTAAATTCTTCATTAAAAAGTAATATTCAAAATGTCTTATTTATACTTGGACTATTATTACAATGTTTCAGCGATTGTGCCCTCCAACCTTCTTCAGGGAATTTTGAACTGAGCTCTTTATTTAATCGACATAGCTAGATTGTTTTCATTCTACTGTTCATGTCTAGTGATATCTCATCTTGTTCATGTTTAGTACTGTTCACTTAACGTTCATCCTGCTTCAACTGAGTCTTAACTCTGCACTACCAGGCCCAGGGATTGAACTCATAATTACTATGCTACCAAATTCAAGAACCACTGCTATTGTCAGTTCAAAATTTTCTGAATGTTACCTGTATTGACAACCCCCTAAAGAAGGCTGGGGGTGAGGCACAGCATTTGAAATGTTGGGATATTGACAACAAAGATTAGGACAATAGTCCAAGTGTAAATAATGATAACTCTTCATTTTAGAAATTCAGACAGAAAACAAATTTCTTTCTTTTTATGTGCCATGTCCTTTCAGGACATAGGCAATCATGGCTCTCCACCACCTCCTGTCCCTTGCAGTTTTCAACAAGTTCCTTCCATCTGCTTCCTCCCCCAGACCACGTTCTGTCATCCACTTACTTAAGTCTGCCAGGTATGTCATACATTGTTTTCCCTTGTTTCTCTTTCCCTCTATTCAACCCATGAGTATCCTCCTTCCTCATTATGTGTCTGAGAAACTTTAGCTGCCTCTTCCTGATATTAAGTGTAAACCTTCTTCTTGTTTGCAACCTCTCTAAGATCTCATTGTTGCCCACATGCTTGGTCCATGATATCCTTAGCATCCTTCTGTAGAACCACACCTTTGTCACCTCGAGTCTCTTCTTCATCCGTGAGGAAATCATCCAACATTAACTGCTGTAAAGAAGGACAGATGTCAGGTATCAGCTCAGTATTCTTTTCTTTGTTACCAAAGAAATCTTCCTGTCTTTCAGTACTCTGCCCAACTTTTGGAATGCATCTTTGGCCATCCCAATACGTCTATGGATCTGCACTTACCAACCTCTGTTAGAACACTTCCTAGATATAAGTTTGGTAGATTAGCATTCTTTCAACCTTCCTTAGACCACAATACTTGTCAGAATGAAAAATATTGATTTGTTATATAAGAAGTGGGGGTCCTGTTCATAATATTGATACAGTATCAAATTGATCCCTGATTTTTACATAAGACTGGTACACTCATAAAAAAACAGGGACAATTTATGGGGAATAATTTTTGTAGATTAGCATTCTTTAGACCTTCCTTAGGCCACAACACTTGATTAATTATTGATTTTTTTTTATTACAAAACACTTTATTAAAAAATATTGATTTAGAAGGACTGTGTAAAATTGATCCCTAACATTACAGAGTTATTGGAAAACAGCAGTTTGTTTACAGATGTCATGCATTGAAACTGCTTATGTTATTGATATCTGCATAAGAAAACACTTTATTTTTACTTTTACAAAAAGATTTTATTTAAGTAAAGAACAAATGGTTATATATGTTATGTTTTATTTTAAGAATATATTTTAAACAACCAATTGTTTGGTAAAATAAAATTGTATTTCATTTTTTTTTTTTTGCAAAAGGACTTTCTGTCCTCAAAGAGCAAACAGATTTATGCATTTTTTTTTAAGAACAAAAATTGACATAATATATAAAGAAAATATGCAAATATCAATGGCGTAAGTACATTTTCAAGGACTGACATTTGTAAGCAAAAACTAAGTGCAGATAACTCTATAAAAGTCAAAGATAGATTTGACACTATATTGATATGATGAACAGGACCCATCTAAATCAATAAAAAAATCAATATATTTTTATTAGAACATTCAAAATTTAAAAAAAAACTTTTTTTTTTTTTTGCGTCAGTGGTTGTACTAACTCTTAGCATAGCAAATTTTGCCTCTTTTTTGTGGTGACAGACACATTAATTTGGAAGTTCTTGAAAAAAAAAACAAATTATTGTCAGATTTTAATTAAATTTTCAGGACTTATTCACAAATGAATGAAATTTTTTTATTGAAAACCTTAGTAATATATATATATATATATATATATAATTTTTTTTTTTTTTTTTTTTTTTTTTATCACGTTTTGTTAGTTAATTTTATGAAAACTTGAGAAATTCATCAGGATGATTTTTTAGTGACTGTAGTTTTTTAATTTTAGTGACTTTTAGTTAAAAGCAGAATTCTTTTGAAAAATTTAAATCACCAAATTTTTTTTTTTTTGCAAAATCAGACCCTGTCTTACATAAAAACTGTTCTTAATTGAAAAATAAAAAATGTAATAAAACTAAGACATTATTTAATTATAGAAGCTTTTAATTGCTTTTATGAATAATATATATTAAAGACAATATTGTCTGAAGAAAAAATTTTTTTCAATGAAAAATGAATTTTTACAAGATTTGTTTTAATTTTTTACAATTTCAAATTGAGTAATTTATAAAGGTTTTAAATCTTTTAAAATTCATTTTCCATGTCATAATTCTTAGGAAATATTGTTATTAAGTAAAACTGTATTTACTAATCATATATTGTAAAGCTTATTACAATCTGATGACCCCTAATATTTCAGAAAGAATTTCTAAAGTATGGATGTACAAACTGATAAATCTATCATTAAAATGTCACATGCTTTAAAGGTTGTTCCTCCCTTACAGAAAAAAAAACCTTCATATAAACTTTATTATCTGCTCCACCATACTTAACTATGAACATGTTTGTCAGTCAATCCACTGTCAATAAATCAATTAACACGTCAGAAAAATGAGACCCCATTGTTAAGAAATGTTTGTACACAACATTTTATGCCATAAGTAAGTAATATTTGTTTCAAATCAGATTAATTTAACTTTAAATTTGATAATTTTTCTCAAATAACGTTTCAGAAATATTATTTTTGCGAGATTTTTAAAATCAGGAATTAACTTTTGTTTACAAATGTGTCAAAAATGGCCAATTTTTATTGATCTTACTGAAAAGAAAAAATTTATTTCGATCAATATAATTTCTGTTCGAAATACACCACAGAGTATTTTGCTTACTGGAAATAGTAAATTTTAAATCCTTTAGCTTTCAATTAAAGCTAAAATGAAAGCTTCAAGAAATTTTTTGGATTTAAAAAAATTTAAACCTTATGTATACTGAATTAGTGGAGTTGGTATAAAGAATCCTGTTTAAGCCATGCCTATCAGATAAATAATAGACCATACAATTTGCTCATGAAGACAGACAAAAACAAAAAAAAGACACTTTGGTTTTTCATGAGAAGGTAGCATACATAATAAAAAAAAAAAAAGGAAGGAGAGATAGAAGATGTGATAACACTTTTATGCTTTTAACATCTGCTTCAGTGAAATGA